TTGGAAATATGTTTGAAAATAACATTATTGAATTTCAGAGAGAATGGATTGTGTCAGTACATATGAACAATAGCTTTGAATCCGTTAAATCATTTATACATGTAAGGTGTTTGACAAAAGGATAATGTGAACTCTGTCACTTTTCTATGAAAAAGTGACATTCTATCACTTTTCTCAAAAAAACCACACTATATCCTTGAAGCAATTAATTAGATGCATACGTATGCATTTTTGAAATTTTGAACATACCAATTCAAGTCCCGAAATTTTGAATCAATTAAATCATTGATGCGTGCAAGGTGTTTGACAAAAGGAAAATGTGAATTCTGTCAATTTTCTATGAAAAAGTCACAATTGGACGTAATTAATACTTCATTAAAATGTTTAATTTGAGTTTAAGGATATTAATCAAAAGCACCTAAAAAAAAGGGTACTAGGCCTAATTTTCCCTTAAATTTTCCCATGTTGTGGGGATGGATTAGGTTTCAGGGCCTTGGGGAAGATTTCTTTCTTATTTATTTTTAAATTATTTCCTTTTTGATTTCTGACAGTTGTTTATAATTGTTCTAGGTTTGTTCTGTATGTATTTCTTTAAAAGGTTGGAGACTTATGCTGCAAGCTTCTCTTTATTTTTTATTTAGTTGCTTTTTTTTTTGTTTGTTTGTTTGTTTAAAGATGATGACAGATTGATTAATTTAAATGGCCTCAACCGTCAAAATGGACAGAAAGACGAATTTGGTTAATGCTAAAGTAAAAATTGAAGGTAAATTTGTTATCTTCCAACGTATTGGTGTACTACAAAAAAAGTTCCAAAGTTTTCACGTTTGAGCTAAAATCGCAAAAATCACTATTAAGTAGCCACCATCTTCCCTTGAAAAAGGCATTACCTCATCGCGATGATACAGAGAATGATTTGATGCATACTAACGACTGCGAAATGTCCCCATCTCACAAGATTTTCCCTTCAAGCTCTATTAGAGCTAGCACACGAGCTGGAGCTGGAGTTGGAGTTGGAGCTAGGGCTAGGGCTAGGGCTGTAAATGGATCGGATATGGATCAGATCTGCCTATATCCAATCCGATCCGATAAAAAAATTATCCGATCTGGTAATCCAACGAATATTTGATTGTTAAATCCGTATCCGATTTGCTATGTTTATCGGATATCCAATCTGATAATCCGATCCAAAATTAATAAAATTTTGGAAAAAAAATCAACGTTCTTTAAAATTTTTTGAACTAACTAGAGGCCCACTTATTTTTATTAGTAAGCCCAATAGTGACTTCTACCATCATGATATTCATTTTTAAAAGAGAGATCTGTTGACCCCAAAAAATGTTGCCAACAGATGTCGGGCCCACTCGTGCACACGCAAGCTTGATCCAACACGCTAACGCCGGTCAACGGTCATGATGGCTCCAAGTAATAGGCGTGAGAGTGGCTAGAAGGCACAAGACGTTTCCGTTCAGGCCACCGGCAAGAATATGATACG